CATGAATATTCCTTATATTCTAATCCTATTACCTTCCTATTTAAACACACAGTCCACACATTTATTAGACACAAACAGCACCTTTTCTAACACAATACACAGATAAAACAATTGAGTCTGAATGTTGCTCAAATTACTAAAACAAAACAAAAAAACAGTGAATATATGGAATAATTCCTATTCAGACTGGTGGTTGTTTATTGGCGTTGTAAGCAAACCTTTAAAAATAACAAATAATTAGTTTTTCTGAGCTTATTTGGAAGATTCTGACATGAAAATTCTTTCCTTAAAAGTGTTTTATCTGTTTAATTTGGATTATTAATATCTCTATAATTATATTGTATTTCCTGTTCAAACTGTTACTGTCTGTTCTCCATTATTCGCCATCATGCAGACACAACCACATAAACTAGCTATGAATTTTTTTACAGAACAATCCTTCTGAGTGAGGGAAGTGCTCGGCGGTCTGTTTAGGGATGTTAACAGTCGCTCTGACAGATGCAGCCAGATGTTTCCTCTGTGCGACCTGCTGACGTCGGCTCAACTGAACGACGAGCGGCTCTCACTCCCTGTCTCTCTCTTTCTTCCAGGTCTTTAAAATCGACGTGCTGGTGAACGGAAGGCTGCACAGTGTCGAGAAACGCTACAGCGAATTCCACGCCTTACATAAAATGGTGAGACTTCGTGGGTTCCCTCCAGACTTTGTCATCATTTCATGACGTCTGTCGTTGAGAAAGACTTCCTTTATGAAGTCTTTGTCGTTACATTTTGAATTGTTTGCTCAAATTCCTCGATGTCTTTGTTGAACGTTATTTAAAACAATCATTTGTCATTTAAGAGTTAAATATGTGTTTATAGATTTAGGATTTTAGCCTTAGAAGATTTATAATTTTGTTTACAGTGCGTGTCCACAGAACTGATGCCTATAACATTTTTAAATCCTTCCAGTTAAAGAAAAACATAAAACCACCAGAAATTCCTTCAAAGCACGTCAGAAACTGGGTTCCCAAAGTACTGGAGCAGAGGAGGCAAGGCCTGGAGCTCTATCTGCAGGTACACACACACACACAGGTTCGCCCAGCTATACATTTGGGGACATTCCATTGACTTCCATTACATTTCTACAGTCTAACCCTGAACACAAACCCTGAGGCTAACCTCACAGGTACCTACCTGACCCTAAAACTAACCTAAACCCAACCCCCAACCCACCAATGGTATTTAAACCAAATGGGGGCTCGACTTTTGTCACCATGTGCACCAGTTGTCCCCAAATGTAGGATTTTTGTCTTAAAATTGCCCCCAAATGTCACCAAAAACACACACACACACACACACACACACACACACACACACACACACACACACACACACACACACACACAC